TTGGCTCAGGTCCAACCTAACCCAGTGGTGCCCAAGACCATCGAAGACCGAGAAGGTGTCCGCTCTACTGTGGATCGCATCAAAACCAAGCTAAATGATACAGTTCATTCAGCTAAGGATAAAATTAACCCTAAAGTAGGAATTACAAAAGTCAAAGATAAAGTTAAGGACAAGGTGAAACAAAAGGCTGAAGAAAAGGCTGTTAAAAAGCTGGATCCAACAGGAGGGCACATTAAGTCGTAAGTGTTCAGTGTTTGTGCAGCTGGCTGATGACATGCTTGAAAATAAGGCACAAAATGCTTTCAACGGTGATGGTCTCTTGATACAATTCAGTCAGTATTGTATATTTTGACTGCTTTTAACATGATTAAAAGTAAGCTAAACCCCAAAATTGACAGGCACATTTATTTTTTTCATCAAATACTGAATAAAAGAGAGACAAGGTATCATTCATTTCACTAAATTGTGCATGCTTGCTTTGACTGCTTTAATATAACAGCATCCACAGAGTTATAAGTTTTCTAAAATAACAATGGTGATAGTAATTATAGAGTTTGTTGTACTGAGAGACTGCTTCTCAATGTAAGTAGCCCTTCAAAGTACAATTTTTCTTTAGTCTTCCTTCCTAGACTGACTAAAGATGCCTGTGCAGTGGATGGTTGCATATGACTAAGCTGAGACATCACATGCATGTAATCTCTTATTTTTATGATATATGAAATGTTTATCACTGATGGTGTTAAATTATGTATGTTTTGCTTAAATAAGACAAGAAATCTACTTATTTCATATTTGATATAGTAATACCATTACTCATTGTGAGAACTAGCAATTTTGCACATGAATTTAGGCGTAATTGCGTTTGACACATGATCTGAGTTAATATGATCAAGTATCGGCCCTCAACAACTGGCCTTCTTTTTTTTCCCTTTTTTTTACTGTGCTGTTGAGAAGTAGGAAGAGTGAGAAAGTAATTATGGTATTGTCTGGCAAGTTTTTTCAGGCTACACTCTCCTATACCCTATTACACCTTCATTTCCCTGAATAATCATAGAAGTGTCTTATGTATGGCATGTATATATCACAAGAAAAAAAAATTGGTGTCTGTCATTTGTACCCCATGTCTTCCTGAACCAATAAGCCAGTACTTTGTAGTACTGCTCCCATCTCTTTTGTTTGTGAATAAATGAAATAGATATGAAATGAGAATTAACCCATTGCGCCGGGAGGGGCATGTAACGTTCTATGCCCATGACCCTCTGGGTGTGGTAGTGGGTGTTGTGGAGTAAATATGTGGGCCTACTCGTGTAACGAAGTAGACCTAGGAGCTTATTTCAGGTACGGCCGGGCTCGCGCGGGATCAAGGTGCTGAGGTGGTACGTATAGATTTTACTTGAGTACTTTTGGGAGTGTTCTCGGTTATTTAATATCCTGCGATTTGATGTGCACTTGGAAGTTGAGGTGGGGCCCGCCAAGTCAAGATATTTGGTGTTTGCAGGTCGGTGCTGAGAATTGCTTGGTAAGTGTGTGGGCACTATTTTGTGTATTTTTGGTGGTCGGCTGGTCCCCGGGGGGGGTTGGGGACACTCGGCAGGAAATTGGGTAGGATTGGGTGGGCGGAGTGGGGGGTGGGTGGGGGTTGGGTGTGTGTGTATGTGGGATGGGCGAGAGAGCGGAGAGAGAGCAGAGACGAGAGCGAGCGAGAGATGAGAGAGACGCGCCGCGCGAGCAGAGCGCGCGAGAGAGAGAGAGAAGAGAGAGAGAGGAGAGTGAGGGAGACGAGAGAGGGAGAGAGAGAAGAGCAGAGAGAGAGAGAGAGAGAGAACAGCGAGTGAGTGTGTGTGTGTGTGTCGTGTGTGTGTGTGTGGGTGTCTTGTGTGTATTATAGGTGTCCGCGTGTATGTGTGGTGTGTGTGTAGGGTCGTGGTGTGTATGTGTGTGTGTGTGTATTGTGTGTGTGAGTTAGGTGTGATGTGGGGTGTATTGTGTGTTGTGCGTATGTGTGTGTGTATGGGTGTGTCTATCTGTGTGTGTATTATGTGTGTGTATCTAATGGGTGTGTTGATGGTGTGTGTGATAGATATGTGTGGTGTCATATATAGTGTGTGTATGTAAGTGTGGTATGTAGGAGGTGTGTAGGTATGTGTGTGTATGTATGTGTGTGTATGTCTCGTGTCGTGTATGTACTGTGTAGTGTACTGTGTGTATGTGTGCATGTATGTGTGTGTGTGTAAGTATGTGTGTGTGTATGTGTGTCGTATGTGTGTGTGAATCTTGGTTGTGTGTGTGTATGGTGTGTGTATGTATTGTGTATGTTATTGTGTGTGTATGGGGTTTGGTGTGTATGTATGTTGTGTGTATGTGTGTGTATGTGGTGGATGAGTGTGCTGTGTGTTGTGTGTGTGTGTGTGTGTTTGTGTGGTGTGTGTGTTGTGGGTTTGTGTGTATGTGTGTGTCATGTGTGTATGTGTGTTGTGTGTATGTGTGTATTGTGTGGGGGGGGGGGGGTGTGGGTGTGTTGTGGGGGGGGGGGTGAGTAGGGTGTGTGTGTGGGGGGGGTGGTGTGTGGTGGGTGTGTGTGGTGTGTGTGTGGTGTGTGGGTTTGTGTGAGTGTGTGGGTTGTGGTGCGGTGGTGGGTGTTTGTGTGTGTGTGGGGTGTGTGTCGTGTGTGGTGTGTGTGTGTGAGAGGGTTTGTGAGTGTGTGTGTTTATATATTTATGTTATATATATATTATATGTAGATATATATATGTAGATAGATTTATATAGGTATATGATATATTATACGGTATAATATATATTTATAATATATATATTTTTTATTTATATATTTTTTTCATATATATACATATTTATACTATTTATATACATATATTTATTATATTTTCAGATATATTCATATTTATACATATATTTACTTTGTGTATTATACATATATACTACTTATATTTACATATATTTTATATATATACATATTATTCATATTTATACATATTATACATATATATAATATATATATTTATATATATTTATTATATATGTATACATATATATATACATATATATATTACATATATATAAACATATATATATACATTATATTATATATATATATATATTTATATATATATATTTTTATTTTATATTATATATTTCTATTTATTCATATATTTTACTTATATATACATTATTTATATATATATATGTATTATATATTATATGTTTATATATATTATATATATATATGTATATATATATTTATATATATATTATTTATATATATATATTATTTATTATTTTTATTATATATATATATATATATATTTTTATATATATATGTTTAATTTATAGTATATATGAATATATATATATATAATATATTGATATATTTATTTATATTTGTGTGTGTATATATATATATATGTATATATATATAATTCGTTATATATATTTTTTTTTTTTTTTTTTTTTTTTTTTTTTTTTTTTTTTTTTTTTTTTTTTTTTTTTCAACAAGCCATTCAATCCACTGCTGTATTATTGGGCCTCTCTCAATCAGTATTGAGAGGTTATATGGCAGGTGTCACCCTTGCTGATTGAATGCCCTTCCTAATCAACCGCGGTGCGGCGCAGTTACCACTTGTACACGGCCGGGTATTATATATGTATATATATATATTTATATATATATATATATATATATATATATATATATATATATATATATATATATGTATTGTTATATATGTATATATATGTATGATATATGTTTTTATACATATACTTATACATGTACATATACATTTTACTTATACATATACATATACATATTCTTATATCATATATCATATACATATACTTGATAAAGATATTATATATTTTATTAATATTATATCTATTATATATCTATATATATACTTATATATATACATATATATATACATATATATTTATATATTTATACTATATATTATTATATAATATATTTATATATATATATATATATACCTCTTTATATTATATACATATAAGTATATTTATACACTATATTATATATATATTACATATATATATATATATTAATTATATATATATATATATATATATATATATATATTTATATATATATATGCATATTTGCATAATATTTATATATATATATTTTTATGCATATATATTGCATATATATATATATAAATATATATATATGTATTATATATATGCATATATGTATTATATATGTATATATATGCCATATATTTATATATTATATATATATGTATATATATTATGCCATATATGTATATATATAAGTATATATATGCATATATGTATATATATATATATATTTATATATGTATTATCATATATGCATATATGTTTATATTTATGTATTTATATGCATTTATGTATTTATTATGTTATATTGAATTTTATATATATATATTTATATATATATCAGATATATATATATATTTTATATGAATGATATATATTATATGGTATATTATTTGCATATATGTATATATTTTATATGTATATTATGCTATAGTATGTATTATATATGTATATATATGCATGTATGTATAATTATATTAGTATATTATATGCATATATGTATATAGTATTGTATATATATGCATATATGTATATATATTATGTATTATCTATTATGCATATATGTATATATATATGTATATTTTGCATTTATGTATTTATGTATGTATATATATGCATATATGGTATATATATATGTATATATATGCATATATGTATACTATTTTATGTATAATATGCTTATATTGGTATTTATATGTATTTATATGCATATTTGTATATATATATGTAGTATATATGCAGTATGTATATTTATAATATGTATATATATGCATATATGTATACTATTTATTATGTATATATTTGCATATATGTATATATATGATATATGTATATTTATAGATGTATATATATGCTTTATATGTATATATTATGTATATATATGCATATTTGTATATATATATGTATATACATGCATATATGTATTTATATATTTATGTATTCTATGCTTATAGTATATATAGAGTAATATATGTCATTTATATATGTATATATATGCATATATGTATATTATTTGTATATATATGGCATTATGTATATTTATTTTGTTATATATATGAATATATGTATATATATAATGTATTATATAATGCAGATATGTATATATAAATGTATATATATGCATATATGTTAATATATAATGA